GCCAATACATTAGGAAGCATTTGATCCGGTCTGACCAGTAGTTCCAAGGTAGGCGGACGGACGAGAACCGGTGCTTTCAACGTGGTATGGTCGCCGTCACAGACTATTCTCTCGTGATCTTGTGCGGATGAGTGAACAAGTATCTTTAACTAGGATATGTCCAGCTATAATTGTGAGGTCAGTATAAATATCAAAGATTTACAAGTTCATTCATTTGTGGGTTTATTTACTGCTATAGCTCATTCCTACTTGGAGGGGTTGTGATGAATCTAAGACGCGATGAACCAGAAGTTTACACCCAGCAACCATGTCTTTGATAAACACTATTCTGATGGCTTGCTATGTTCAGCAGCATCTGGTTGTCTTTCTTTGGCACAAGGGGCTATATGGAACAATATAACAATAAAAAATGTACAATTAAAGTTTTGACTCATTGTATTGTTTGTCACTTTCTATCTTTTTCCGTCATCCCGGGAAAGGAAACAAATTAACATGTAAGTGCGTGTTGAAATACACTCGCAATTGCATAAGGATACAGAACGTGAGAAACCAATTCAGTATATGAGAGTATACATACCAAGCGACAGCATGAACAATATTAAGACAAAAAGGTTGCTTTTGGTTTTTTCCCCATAGGAAAAATAATGAACACATGTATAAGCATATTAGAGGAAGATGATATTGATGATGGCACAGGTATTCAGTGTTTGACAACGCTTTTACCAGCAACACCTTCTAATATAATTCGTACCCACCAAGAGAAATCAAAAGACAGAGTCGAAGAGATCGGAAGAGTGTATTTGGTGATTACAAATATATCGGAATTCTCTGATCTAATCTGGCTAGCGATTGCGGTAGATATTGAGCACAGCGTTACCACACGTGATCAGGTGCGGATGCATGACCGAGCGTCTTCAGCAAGGTGAGTCCACTAAAACTAATCTGGTCAGCATCCAATGTCGAAAACTTACAGAGCTATTTATTTTGGGGATTTATTTACCGTTACAATATCTTTTGACGCGCTTAAATTAATTAACTTGATATCCAGCCAAATGATTGTGAACGTGAAGGAGAGACAAAACAATAAACTTATACAATGTCCTATGTACACTAGTTGATAAAGTGCTCCGCAATCTTGCCGTTCTTGCTGAGCGCATTGCTTGAACAAGCGATCGGATACCAGCGGCGTTTTATCGTCATTAATTATCAGCAATGACATTATGGTCGTAAGACCTGTATCGTTAAATTGTTCGCGAAAAAAATCGACAAAGTCACGGTTTCCTTCCAAGCGAACCGATTTTAGGACGGTGAACGTTGATGTTATCGTTTGTTCCATACCTATGAATGGTATAGTAATTAGGTTTGCAATGAAGAACTTAGAAGGGTCATTAATATACAGTTTCGAGGGGTCATTGTAATATATCGCGTCTTAAAAATTTCGTGTACTAAGTTGTAAGACAGCTAGAGCGAGAACATCATTGTACTGCGACCTAATGTGAACAGATTTAACAGAACGCATAGTGCTTACGAGCCTACTGATGTAGGAGTTCAGATCCACATTCGTTGATATAGATGAAGGACACGAATTCTCCTGAAAGTTCAAGTCTTGTTCCTGAAAGGAGTTGTGCCTCAGTGTTCGACGTCAGTTTTTACTGAATTTCGAATGCCAAGTAACACGAGTGGAAGAGTGTCAGTCCATTGAGCTAAGTTGGCACGTGAGAGTGAAGCCTTTCACTGTTGGTGAAATCGTTCTACTAACCCATTAGCTCTTAAAAGTAGATGATTGTGCAGAATCGCGTTGTTCTTAGTGGGAGTGTCCGGATTTTAATTGGCGTTCACGGTCCGTAGTGTTCGTTGAAGGGCAGCTGAAGTTTGCTACTCATCGTTTGACGAATGCGTGTGACATTGATTCATTAGTAAAGTCTTAGGTATGCGTTGCTTCTGGTCATCGTGTGAAACCGTATACACACCGGAAGAGAGGAGTATCCACCTGAATCTGATAAGAGTTCCGGCAAACTAAAACAAACATATAAAAAGGTAGCGTGGGGAGTTGTGACGGAGTTTAAGGGACATTTGATGTGTTCAATCACATTAGATGTCTTGCAGCATACACGAGAGTGTACTCACTTCTCTACGTCTTTACTCATACCAGGCCAGCAAATTCGACTTGCTATGAGCTGGATCATTGTTTGAATACCTGAGTGCGTAGGTCGATGCAACGTATCGAAGACGATGCGTGGATAAACTTTTGGAGTGATTGTGCGATCACTAGTATAGATGTGTCATATAGTAAAGTTTCCCTATCTGTTTTCATCTACTTGATTCGTATTTCCAGGGCTGTTTAAGATAATTCGTTCTTTCTTTTCGAAGATGGGCGAGTTTAAGACAGTTCATACCTTGGAAACAGTTCAGGTGACTGGTATGAGTCAAGGCATCTGCAACTACATTGTTTGCCCCAGAAATGTGTTGTATATCTGAAGTAACACTGATTTTGAACGACTCGAGTAAACGTCGTACACAATACAAAAAATGCTGTGGAACAGGCAGTAAAGGGTAAACGTAATAAAAGAAGAGTAGCGTGAACTGAACTTGTAGAATGATGGATAAGACTATTTTGTAATAGGTTATTTCCCTTCGTACCCGGAAATATATATGTTGTACTAGTACGTCGAGTTCTTCCTCCCGAGACATTCACTGATACTGACTTGGGTGCTGTTGTTAAAATTATCTCCTACCTGCAACTAACCGCTGAAAATACGTACTGCAGCAGTAGTTTGGCTTATTCGAATAAATCATGACTTCGTTCTACCGTTTACTGCCCTCAGAGAAACGATTGTATTTCGATCGTTATAAGAACATCGTGACAGCTGCTAACCAGCCTTCCTAGAAAGTAATAGTTCTACTTTACAGTACCTAGGATGATTTATATGAAAGGTCTTCTTGGAGATTAAACAGGTATAAGGAGCTATAAGTTGTAAGTAATTACTTTATCTCACGATCATGTCTGTAAATTACGCAAGCTCTTCAATGGACAGTGAGCCCCTTCCACCAGATTATTCGCTGCCAGTGTGAAGTCAGATGTTTAAATGCTCTGAAGACTAAGGAAAGTAAACCCTTGAAATATTTTTGATTGAGAGAGTGAATCACATTTTGAATAAGCAATGAGAAGAGGGCAGGAATTTGAGATCCAATAAGGAATAAAAGTCGTGAATACAGGACAGGAAATCGCTGATGATAGTCAGAATAAACGTCAAGGTTTTTGGTGGTGAAAAGTTTGATGACATTAAGTCAACATTCAATAAACATCCATCAGAAGGATTAAACTTTCCAGGTGATACAATGTACGTCAGAGTACCTTATTTAGATGATAGTCTAAGCAAGCCTCCTATGTCAAGATTTACTCAAAATTACTATTATAGGCTCGCAGTCTTCTCTTGCCCTTCTCTTTCAAAAATCATTGTGTTCATGCTTTGTTCACATTCTCTCCCGACATTATTATCCCTTTGGTCTACAGAAATATCGTCTAACTACTAAATGTTATAATTATACAAAATAACCCCAACAATACTAATATACTCTTCTCATATTTAATGAAAAATTGTCTACTAATCTCTCAAATGATGTTAGTTTATGATGAAAACTCTCTAGAAAAAGATAGGTTTAAAAGATTGAGATGTTTCCTTCTTGATTACCTTATGCACTTTTATGTTACAATGGTGCCAAGATACACTGACTCATAACATCTTATCAGTAGCCGCACACGACTTGACACGGTTTCGGTATCAGGACCCTCAAGTTAAGCACTGGTATTAAAATTGTAAGTTTCTGATTCCGCATACCATGACTCACAAAAAAACTTTAGTCGATTCGTGGGATAACATGGTCCACATCCAACATCATCGGTGAGATACTGCTTATATTCTGATTAAATAAACATTACTGGCTACTGTTTCCTAGAAGAACTTAAACAAAATCTAACCGGAAGCTAGCGAGTTATGAGTACACAATAACTATTGATTTATACAGTTTTTTTACTAAGGTTGGGTGTAATCTGTAGATACTTTTCAAGTGATTTTGAAAGATAATCCTAATCTAAGATTCTAGTTTTTGTTTACTGAAGTTCAATGTTTTTGAAAGTATTATCTTTTAAACAAGAAATAAAGGTAAATATTTATAATAATAACAATCATGAGTAAAAGTAGAGCGATGACTCTAATTGTTATTGACCTCTCAAGGAAAAAATTAATATAGTTTCACTTCTAACTAAATCAAGGGAATAATTGAACTGATATGATTGTCATTTCAAGAAATTCTAAACTGTTAAAAATTTTAGCTAATTTTCCGTGGTCATAAGTAACTGTCGTACTCAAATATGTAACCACTCTTCTGATCATCTCAGATTAAGAAAGTACAGAGGATTTTATAATGACAATTTTATCTTGCTATCATTATAATTTTCTGATCAACTAGTAAACGAGTTGTGTTTTTGTCGAAAAACAGTAGATTTTTAAGGAAATAATCCACTGAATGATAGTCAAAGGGATTCAGTAATTTTGAATATTGATTAAACCATTTCGATGGAGGTGAATAAACTTAGTACATAGTGCATACAATATAAAGTAGTAGGATCTTAAAACAACCATGTAAAATCTTGAACTTGGGTTTTCTTTTTGTGACACTCATTAGAAAGTTACTCATGAAAAGCTGAACTCTCACTAAGATCCCTAGAGGATAACATCCTTTAACCCTAATAGGGCCAAAGGAATTTCACTGAGCTCTAGCCAAATCATCCGGCTTTCAGGTCAATGAATGTCGAACAGTTGACTGATCCTTCTGAGGGCAACCGGAATGTATGTTTCGTTCACATCATCGTTCGATCAAGCCAATGTCAGATCACTGGGCCATAAAAGCTATAAGAGACATTTTAAACAAAAGTGCTAACATAATTGTTTTATATTTCAATACTTGAAATTAAAGTTAAGCAGTAAATTTATCAAAACTAATGCTTGTGGTAAAAATACACATTATATTTCTCCATTTATAAGTGACTCAATCTGAACACCTTTATAAATATTTAACAAAACATTTAACCTTACATCATATTTTTGTTAAAGTGAACAAAATAAGTTAAACACAGACTGCTTTTCCTGAATCTCCATTATCTTTAACTTGAATATTAAAATCTCGACACATTTGAATAAGTACTGGGTCAATTTCACATTTTAGGTCCTCGAAGGCTGGTGAAATGCATTGAGTCAAACGTAAAGTACAACTTCGAGTTTCTTTACATAAATTTCTCATTTCATTGACTGTGTCTGAGTTGACTGTGGATGATCCGAGTTTTTGTATGTCATTCTTCGAAACTTAACAAAAAAATACAATTTAATTAATATTTGTTTACATTATTTTGAAGTGAAATAATGGAGATTATTATCGTTTGATCAATAAAATTTAAAATATTCTGATTTTTCTATTGGTTTAACATGCTAAGATTTTATGGATAAGCACTTAATCATAAGAAAACAAATTCTTCTTCGACTTATCATAAATGTAAATAACCCGCTGTACCATCCGCTTGCCAACTGGCTTTTCAAAAATATTGTCATTACAGTTATTTTTGCTATTCTTTTCTCATCCTAAATGATGGTATCTGATAAATTTTACACCATTTGCTTAATTATTTACGCCTGTTACTTCTAATGGAACATAGGCCGCCGAACAGCATTCTCCAACCCACTCTGTCCTGGGCCTTCTTTTCTAGTTCAGTTTTCCCATGTCTGTCTCCGTTTCTCGGCGTAATGTGTTCTTCGGTCTTCCTCTTTTCCTTTGGCCTTGAGGATTCCATGTGAGAGCTTGTCTTGTGACGCAGTTTGGTGCTTTCCTCAATGTGTGTCCTATCCACTTCCAGCGCTTCTTCCTGATTTCTTCCTCCGCGGGGTTTACACCATTTATCCTACTCTTATTATTTCTCACTTAATCCACAGGATTTTTGCACGTTACATAATTTCTGACCAAACAATTGGCTTTTTTTAAGAATCCTATTAATTCTCTTCCAGTTCATTATTTATATTAATTTTTATTATTACTATCAGAGGTTCAACTCCGCCTGTAGCTCTTCTAGAGTTACTGACGGTTCCAAGCCCGGGTAAAGGAGGAGGGTTGGGCATGATTTAGCGACCCCATCCCGTAGAAAACTAACTCACTAAAAAACATTGACCAGAAAAAACAATTCAAACTCTGACCTGGGAGTTAGAAGGTCTTCATTTAAAAGAACTATGACACCTCATGGTGAAAGCCGAGTTCCTTCGGAAGCCACAAGGCCGATGCCCTTATTAACAACCAAAGCAGCAATTTTTATAGATACATGGAACGTCTGGACAATGTGGGAGACCGGGAAGACCAGTCAAATGGCAACGGAAATGAGGAGATACAAATTGGCAGTACTTGCATAAGTAAGTGAGTAAGTCAGAGGTTCATTTGACCCGTAATTAAGTTCAAAGTACACTCTATATTTATAAACACAAACTAGTTTTACTAATAATCTTGAAACGTTAGGAAACTTGTTTGCTCTAAACTTTCCAATTCATTTATAGTCAACATTTTGAATTGGTAGCCACTCACTTCGTCCAGCAAATTCATATTCACAGTGGTAGACACCAACTTGATGGGAAGTGAAAAATCAAACACAATTTACTTATTCATATGATAGGAAATTACATTATGATAATAAAGTACTAAGTTTGTGAATAAAACAGCTCACCTGTTATCTGCTTTCTCGATGCAACTATAAGGATTATTGACAATAAAGTAATCTAAAGAAATATGACTAGACAACTGATGTAATTTGTCGATACTAGGTTCATTAATGTCCGAAGATGTTAATTAATTAATTAATTTTAAGTGACAAAGACGAAAGTTATGAAGTCCCAACTTGTTAGAATTAATTTTTAAAAATTATAGAGGTGCATACAATTAAGAACGTCTATAGAGTTATTGAATTGTAGAATCAGTATTCACCTTTTTTGGAAGGACACTATTTTTAAATTTCATTTAATTCTCTATACATAATACTTTTATCTGAGATGTTTACTACTGAAGTAATATCAAATTTTAAAAAATTTTTTAATTTCTACAAAGGCATTATACACTAGATTTGCATTTTCTTATAAATAAACTTATCATTAGTTGACAATCACTGATTGTATAAATAAGGATTCATTAGATTTTTATTATCATTTATAAAATGTATGTAGAAAATTGAACTGTGACTTACCATATTCCTTTTTACCTAATGCATAAAGTAGGCAGTTTTCTTCCATGACGGGTAAGAATTCGCATGTATTACTTTGTACCAAACAACAAGTTTTAGTATTGAGGTAGGAGAATATAATATGTACGATGATTAGACTAAAAACATTAAATGTTGAAGACATTTCCAATAAAAACTACAGCTCTAGTTGTGATATATATATATATATATATATATATATATATATATATATATATATATATATATATATATATATGCATTATAAGGTTGTTCTTTACTACGTTTGTCTATTTCTATCATTACCAAATAATTTCTTTCGTTTGTAGACATTTATTAGTATTATGGTATGAACGTTAATAGTGGTGAAATATGTAGGGAATGGAATATTATATCATAGAGTTATTTGAAGATTTATTTTATTTATTCATTTTAATTGACGTGAATTTGAAAAAGAAATAGAATTAACGAAATGAAATTCAGTGAGTTACAAATGACAGTTATGTGAATAATATTCAACATGTTATTTACAAAATTACATGTAAACTACTGAATAAATGATTGACAATAGTATTTTGTACAAGGTAGAATTTATTCCCATCATGTTTCTTAATAATAAATGCCTGATTACTAAAATATCTTATATATATTAAGGTAGAAAGTCCTATAGATTTTATATTTCCAAGACATTTTCACTATTAGCTAAACATTTTCGCCACTGAGAATGGAAACTCTTCTTTAGCCGGTCTGACTTTAAATACTGATGAGTATTACAATTAACTAAAAGTAATTTATTTTAAACCAGTGAAAAAGACATTTAAAAAGCATTCAGCAAGCTATTTTCTATATCATACAGATAAGTAAATAGTTTTAAATGAATTAAAACATGATTTGCAACATTTTAAATTCACAATTCAATGTAATACAAAAATGCCACTATATCAAAGACCAGAAATATGCACTTGGTATTATTTGGCTTGTATCTTCCCATTGAGGTTTAAAACTACAATTGATCCGTCTGTTATCGGCATATGTGCATACTGTGCGTATGCCTCGATATTGCGTTAATTTATAAGCAATGATGGATAGTGGGTAGCAGTGGAATCCAGGACGCGCGTTTCCTCCTATTTGAGACTCGTCAGCTGGACGTACCTTCATCTCAGAGTTGATGTTCACTCTGGGACTCGAACCCAGTACCATTCACTTCAAACACCATCGCGTTATCCACTTAGCTACTGAGCCCTGGTAGCCACTAGAAATATAGTTAATAAAATCAATTTTATAAGTTTTATCAACCAGGACCAACTATTTAAAGAAACATGTTAGACATTGTTTTTCTTTTGTTGATTTTTAAGATTATTGGAATTTGTATTCTAAAAAAATTCTATATCAAATGAAAGTAAGCACTAGTAAATTCTTAAATAAGTAAATACAATAAAGTGTTACTACTAATAATAAACTTAGAATGAATTCAGCATTCTATCATATTGAAATCATAATTGATAATATGATTCACATATATTTCATTATATATTGTATTATTATTCAACCAGGTCTTGTATACATAGATAGATAGCCCAAATCACAAATAAGTTGATAAAACCAAAAGTTTTAATTTAATTTAATGTTTTTTTTTAAAAAAGTTTATATCACAAAAATGAAATTCACTTTTCTTATCACTTTTTATTTAATGTTACCATTGAATAAACTTAGAAACAAAAAAACGAAAACTATCGTCATCCACTATGTATTGTTTAAATGTATCTTTTTGTAATAATAATAATAATAATGGTAATCCTACTTTTTATATGTATAATCTAAACAGATCGTAATAGTCGTATTAAATGTGTTATTGATAAAAGGTAAATTATTTTACTGTTTAAATTATCAAGCCATTTTTAAAACTATGTCATGAGAAGTAAACATGTTGTAACCATACGTTAAAATCTTGGAAAACATCTCTTATTACTTAGCTATAGTTATAAGAAAGACTATAAACTGTAGATTATTCTTAATATGTTATAAAGCATAAAACTCTTTTCATGAAATTGGAAATGTTCAAAGTTAAAAGTTAATCTTCTTTAAGAAAAAATCTAAAATGATGGTATATTTTTTTTAGGTATCATTACCAAGGTTTGATTTGATAATTTCGAATAAATTGAGCATCGAGTAGATTGTTATAAATAAAAATAATAGATTTGTAATATCTTCAGAGAGGAAATGACTTACACTAAGTCATGAAACGTCAGAAAATCTAATTTTTCTACGCATTGAGATATTACAGATGATATTTTTTGTTTTGTTTTTTATTTACGAATCAGGTTTCAATAAACTAAATAAATTTCTAAATATGACATATGATATTTATAAATGATAAATATTTTAAAAATAATACACGTTAATCTTGTTAAATGTAAACATTTTTGGTGTATATAATCTGTTTTTATTAATAAATGAACCCTTTATTTACAAAATTCATGGATATGTTTCGGCGATACATCACTCAACCTAGATACTACCATAAATGGAGAAGTGTTATCTAGGTTACATACAGTAGTAGACTTGGGACTTAGATACTCCCAAGACTTGTCATTTACAGAACAGATATTAAAATAGACCTCTAAGTCTCAAGGTCTAATAGGTTACATAACTCAAACCTTTACAACAATGAGTCACGTATTCTAATGTACAAAGTTTTTGCTAAACCTCTTCTAGAATATTGCACGTTTATTCTTAGCAGTGCGCGCATAAAGGATAAATTAAGGCCGAAATCAGTACAGAGACGATTTACACTTCGTCTTCTTGGAGCTGATTGTACGTTAACTTATAATTCTAGATGTAATAAACTTGTAGATAATTATCATTAATTCGTTCCGGCACACGAAATGACCTGAATTACTCCGTTAATAAATCAACGGGCTGTCCATTTAAGAAATATTAAAAATTCCCGGCTGATACATTGAATCGCTGTAATACATGTACTACCTAAACAATTACTGAACTAGTATACTTAAAACTTTTTTATATCACATGTTTGTTCTGTACATCTAATGTTACTATTTATATCAAACTGATCATGCCTGTAAACTGGCGTGAATTCTGTAATTATTATTTTCAGAATATAAATTATTATATTATAAAAAAATTCATGAACACAAGCAGATAACAGGTTGTAATAGACAGTAATACAATTTGTTGTTTGACTATAATTATTTGATCGAAAGGTCATAGAAAAATAGATACAAAAAACCGAGAGCACTCAGAATTCATAATAGCCAATTATACAAGAGAAGTGAACATTTGATTTTGATTGCTTGGATGTTGTTTCAACCATATTAATTGCTCATAATATGGATTTTGCCGAACTACGTCAGTTGCACGATATAACTGAAATCAATACTGATAAATCTTTATATTCTACCTCCATTGATTTTCACAACTGAATTGATTAATCAGATCTTGTAGGAATGTTACTTCCTTTCACAAATATATTGACAGTGATTGTCTTTAAGGTTGATTATACGCAAAACATTTGTTACATTACAAGTCCCAAAAAGGAAAGAACGCATATATTCAGTTCCATCGATAACCATTATCCTCAACATGACTTTAGGAGGATAGACAATTTATTCTAGTCTTATACAGCAATACTTTTTTAAAAATCTCTTTCACTAGTTATAGTATAAGTTAAGTAATACTGTATTTCAACATTAAGAGTATCAGAAATACAAATCATGGTTACAAAAAGCTATTATAACGATAATCGTCTATTTAATATGATTGGAATAAATAATTTTTCACCGTATTTAGGCTAAATTTGACAATGAGTGAATCGTCCAACTTAAAAATCAAAAAAATAATCAACAGGGTGAATATAACAATGTTTGTACAGTCTTCTTAGTAAAATATGATCCACCTGAAATATAACTGTATATTTCGGAGTTGCAGACGTTGAATATAACAAAAATACTGCGAAGATTTAGTGAGCAGTTTTGGTAATTATTAAGCTTAAATCCTAGTAGATTTACGGGGACATGGCTTTGATGTGCAAAAAATGTTTTTTATTTGAATACCTAAACTAACGTAAATATTCCACATGAACCGTGAAATCTTCTTCAGAGCTCATAATTATTAAGGCGAATTTTTTAAAGGTTAGTAAAAGCTGAATATTATCATCATGCACTAGAATCACCCGCAATAAACACTTGAATATAGAAATAACTGGATAGCTGTTATACTTTGGTAAAGGACTGTTTAAAAATACATATCTACAGCCTCAGGCATAATGATGGATTTGCGGATCTCCAGGTATTTCAGCTGATACCAATTCTTGATGATATCTATATTGAAACTGGTGTCATTTTAATAAAGAATATTTTCACAAACATTTTGTACTACATATATGAAAATCACAATTTATTAAACAAGCAGAAATTTTTTGATCGTGAATAACCTTATAATTATAAGTCGATTCTCGATTTTCAGCTATTTGTTTAGACATTAATGCTAAAAATAAAATTTCGCCTTTCTCGGTTTTCCTGTCTATCATTATTTTGATCCTTTTTGCAAAAGCGTTTTCTAGAATAACTACACTTTTTATGTCAATTATTGTACGTCATACGAATCCACACCAAACAAACAACATTACACTAGATTTCTACGACTTATCATTGTATTACTTTCCTAAATGACGTCCTCGACTGAGAAGTAATATTTCCATCATTATATATATATATATATATATATATATATATATATGTTGTTGGAGTTTTCTTCTCTGAGCTGGATGGTTTGGTCATGGAGCTTTCATCTTTCTTCTGAACGACATCATCAGCACAAACTTCAGGTAAAAGTGAAGTGTTCGAATTTCTCCACATGTGGTTCATAGCTTATCCTGTACACCTCGAGGTGTGAAGCACATGTGGAGAAATTCAAAAACTTCACTTCTACCTGAAGTTTGTGCTGATGATGTCGTTCAGAAGAAAGGTGAAAGCTCCACGACCAAACCATCCAGCTCAGAGAACGAAACTCCACTAAAATCACCCACCTGAG